AGTCGTTCACCGAATGCCAGACATTGAGTGATAGTGAGCGCGAACTGGAGGACGGCATCCGACGCTTTATATTCACTAAAAGCGACAAAAGCTATGAATCGCTGATGAGTTCGTTTCGGTCGCAGATCTCAGTTATCAACGAAAGCAGTCATCAGTCAATCGTCTGGACGGATGTCCTTCACTCGACCTTCAGGAGCGACGACTCGAACATCCAGTGCTCCGTTTGGATCACTTTCTACGAGATATACAACGAAACGATCTATGATTTGCTGGACTTAGAGGTGACGGGAGAGAGAAAGTCAAAGATTATGCTCTTGAAGGACGAGTCGGACAACTACTACATCAAAGGCTTGAGACAGATCTGCGTGTCCTCTGCAGAGGAGGCCTACAAAGTGCTGCTCTTCGGACAAAACAATCTTCACATCTCATCCACTAATCTGAATAAGAATTCGAGTCGAAGTCACTGTGCGTTCACCATCTCATTGGTGACCACTTTTCGCAATCAATTCACTAAGAGATCAGCCGTTGTTCTCAATCAGTAAGTCATTGACCCATGAATTCAATGTATATATAGTCTAATGATTGATGCGTTGGACAGCCTATCGATCTGTGATTTGGCGGGCGCTGAGAGGAGTGAAAAGGCGAACAATAGCGGGGAATATGGGGAACGGGCCACTCGTGTGAAGGAGGCCGGGAAGATAAACGGATCGCTTCTGTCGCTCAGTCGTGTCATCACAGCCCTCAGACACAACCAGAGGTTTGAGTAAGTTTTCAATCAAACACCGTTTGGTATCTCTTGTACTGATGTATCATTGCATGCGATGACAGTCACGATCCCTCTAAGAAGCGATTCGTAAACTTCCGCGACTCGAAGCTCACGAAAGTGTTTCAGCCATACCTGTGCGGCAGTGGAATGGCAGCCATGATATCCAATATGAATCCGACGCCCAATCTGTTCGATGAAACGCTGTTCGCACTGAAGTTCACAGGCGTTGTCGCACAGGTAGTCGTCAGCTATGAGGAGCAACGCAACAAATTCCAGGATTCGCTCAAAAGACTGACACAGATGTGGA